TGGTCCTGCTGTAAACCCTGTTCTGGTCCACCTGCTGTAGACCCTGTTCTGGTCCACCTGCTGTAAACCCTGTTCTGGTCCACCTGCTGTAAACCCTGTTCTGGTCCACCTGCTGTAAACCCTGTTCTGGTCCACCTGCTGTAAACCCTGTTCTGGTCCACCTGCTGTAGACCCGGTTCCCTCCTCTCTTTAAGAACAACAGGAAGCTGATGATGTCATCACTCAGATGTGCTCCACCTGACAAACCCTCCAGAAGCTTTCCTACACTCTTCATCCTCCTTGGCCAATCACATGCAGAGGAAACCCCTGAAACCCCGCCCACTCCTCTGACTCCGCCTCACGGTGTCTGGGAGAGCCATCAGTCAGACCCGAGTGATCACTGGAGCGTAAAATTAAATTCAGGAGGCTGTGTGTGTTCAATGAGTGTGTGAGATGGTGAATGTGTGTGTGTCTGTTTGTGCGTCTTTGTCTGCATGTGCATCTGTGTGTGTGTGCGTTCTGATACAGATGTGTTTGTTGTGAGTCCCTACAGCACTGAAGATGAACAGGAAGCTGTCTGGTGCCATGATGTCCTGCAGGTGGACAGAATCATCAGCACTGGACTCATCAGTTCACAAAAAAACACTCAGAACCGGTCCAGTCTCAGCAGAACCACTGCCAGAACAAGACCGCCACTGAGGTCCTGTAGGGATGAGCTCATGTGATGATGAGGTCACATAACAATGAGGTCATGTAACAATGAGGTCACGTAACGATGAGGTCATATAAAGATGAGGTCATGTAACGATGAAGTCACATAACAATGAGGTCACAATGAGGTCACGTAACAATGAGGTCACATAACAATGAGGTCATGTAACGATGAGGTCGTAACGATGAGGTCACGTAACAATGAGGCCATGTAACAATGAGGTCACGTAACGATGAGGTCATGTAACGAGGTCACATAACAATGAGGTCTCGTAGGGATGAGCTCATGTGATGAGGTCATATAAAGACGAGGTCACTTAACCATGAGGACATATAACAATGTGGTCACGTTACGATGAGGTCATAATGATGAGGTAATGTAACAATGAGGTCGTAATGATGAGGTCATGTAACAATGAGGTCGTAATGATGAGGTCACGTAACAATGAGGTTGTAATGATGAGGTCATGTAACGATGAGGTTGCAATGATGAGGTCATGTAACGATGAGGTTGTAATGATGAGGTCATGTAACAATGAGGTCATGCAACAATGAGGTCATAATGATGAGGTCATGTAACAATGAGGTCATGTAACAATGAGGTCGTAATGATGAGGTCATGTAACAATGAGGTTGTAATGATGAGGTCATGTAACGACGAGGTCATGTAACGATGAGGTCACGTAACAATTAGGTCACATAAAGATGAGGTCACCTTACCATGAGGTCACATTATGATGAGGTCACGTAACAATGAAGTCACATAACGATGAGATCACATTACAATGAGGTCACATAATGAGGTCACATAACAATAAGGTCACGTAACGATGAGGTCATGTAATGATGAGGTCACGTAACAATGAGGTCACGTAACGATGAGGACACATTACGATGTCATGTTATGATGCGTTCACGTAACGATGAGTTCATGTAACGATGAGTTCATGTAAAGATGACATCACATTATGATGAGGTCACATTATGATGAGGTCATGTAACAATGACGACATGTAACAATGAGGTCACATTATGATGAGGTCATGTAATGATGAGGTCATGTATAACGATGAGGTCACGTAACGATGAGGTCACATTATGAGGAGGTTGCATAACGATGAGATCACATTACAATGAGGTCACATAATCAGGTCACATAACAAGGTCACGTAACAATGAGGTCATGTAACAATGAGGTCACGTAACGATGAGTTCACATTACGATGAGGTCACAAAACAATGAGGTCATGTAACAATAAGGTCACGTAACAATGAGGTCATTTAACAATGAGGTCACGTAACGATGAGGTCACATTACGATGAGGTCACGTAACAATGAGGTCACGTAACGACGAGGTCACATTATGATGAGGTCACGTAACGATGAGGTCACATAACGATGAGGTCATATAACAATGAGATCACATAATGAGGTCACATAACAATGAGGTCACATAACGATGAGGTCAAAGTAACAATGAGGTCACATAACAATGAGGTCAAGTAACAATGAGGTCATGTAACAATGAGGTCACATAACGATGAGGTCACGTAACAATGAGGTCATGTAACAATGAGGTCACGTAACGATGAGGTCCGTAAGAATGAGGTCACGTAACAATGAGGTCACGTAACAATGAGGTCACGTAACAATGAGGTCACATAACAAGTCACGTAACAATGAGGTCACGTAACAATGAGGTCACATAAAAATGAGGTCACATAACAATGAGGTCATGTGACAATGAGGTCACATAACAATGAGGTCATGTAACAATGTGGTCACATAACAATGAGGTCATGTAACAATGAGGTCACGTAACAATGAGGTCACGTAACGATGAGGTCACGTAACAATGAGGTCACGTAACAATGAGGTCACGTAACAATGAGGTCATGTAACAATGAGGTCACATAACAATGAGGTCACGAAACAATGAGGTCACATAACAATGAGGTCACGTAACAATGAGGTCATGTAACAATGAGGTCACATAACAATGAGGTCACGTAACAATGAGGTCACGTAACGATGAGGTCAAAGTAACAATGAGGTCACATAACAATGAGGTCAAAGTAACAATGAGGTCACATAATGATGAGGTCATGTAACAATGAGGTCACGTAACAATGAGGTCACGTAACGATGAGGTCACGTAACGATGAGGTCACGTAACAATGAGGTCACGTAACAATGAGGTCACGTAACAATGAGGTCATGTAACAATGAGGTCACATAACAATGAGGTCATGTAACAATGAGGTCAAAGTAACAATGAGGTCAAAGTAACGATGACTTCACGTAACGATGAGGTCACGTAACGATGAGGTCACGTAACAATGAGGTCACGTAACAATGAGTTCACGTAACAATGAGGTCACGTAACAATGAGGTCACGTAACAATGAGGTCACAGTAACAATGAGGTCAAAGTAACAATGACGTCACATAACGATGACGTCACGTAACGATGACGTCACGTAACAATGAGGTCACGTAACGATGAGGTCACGTAACGATGAGGTCACGTAACGATGAGGTCACGTAACAATGAGGTCACGTAACAATGAGGTCACGTAACAATGAGGTCACGTAACAATGAGGTCACGTAACAATGAGGTCACGTAACAATGAGGTCAAAGTAACAAT